AATTTGGAACAGAGCCCCAACTTTCAACAACCCAAAAATAACTTACTGTGGTTCACCAAATTTAAAAAGATGGAGATTATGCAAAAAAGAAAACCATAATTTACCATGAGGCCTCTACGTATCTTGGCAGAAAATTTTAAAGATAGAAAAGTAAATTGAATGGATTATAATCACAGATTTAATAAAGCCCTAAACCAAAATATTTTGATATATGTGAAAGATATATATTCAGGATGCAACATTATAATGCTTTTTTACTAAGACTGTAGCTATTTGTCAACATATATAAAACCACAGTGGTAAATATAAACTACACAGGAAAAGTGAAATACAAGACTAACCTAGCAATTTTACTTAAAAGTTCACCCTAAAAACATAACTAAGAAAGTTCACAACAAAGGATTTAACCATAAGAATACTTCCCCCAGGGAGGCGGTAGAAATTCTTAAGCTTGCAGTAACACACTGCTGGAGTAAGCTACCACACATTCCCAAGATGGGACCCCCAGCCCGCAAAGATGACCCTGCAGAGTGATGGTAGCTGACTTAGGTGCATCCCAAACAATCAGGTTACCAAGCAACATATGGTTGATCCAGTTTCTGCAGAAAGATGAACAGCCTGTGTGTGTGGCAGCAGGGAAGGGATGTGTGTGTGGACATGGCAAATATGAACTTGAAAGAATGTGTTAGAATTGAACAGACATTACCTCAGAGAGGTAGGCACTTTACTTCGGCCCTCTGTACTATATATTCTAAATATTCTGGGGCCAGGAATTTAGCTCAGTGGTCCCACCGCCTGCCTTGCAAGCGCAAGGTCCCGAGTTCGATCTCTGGTACCACAAAAAAAAAAAAAAAAAAAGAAAAAAAAAGAAATAATAAATATTCTGAATTTTCTATACTAAATATGTAAATTTTAAAATTTCTAAAAGCTATAAATATAACCTGGTAAAAATATATTAAATTAGCCCTGGCTACTTTAATTTTTTAGATACAGTGGTAACTTGGTTCACGAACTTAATTCCTTCCATAATTCTGGTTGCAGAATTCGTTCCACAATACTGGTTGCAACCAAATGGCAACCAGATTCTGTGACCAGAATCATGGAAAGAATTAAGTTTGTAAACCAAAGAACCAATGTATTATAATTAGCAAAAATTGTAATGACCTCCTCATACAATATCTCCCCCAATAATCAAACCAAACTGGACAACCACCAAATCAAATTTCCCCATGAGGTCACCATTCAACCTAACTATTGAATTTGACCCAGTTCTCGTCTAACTCGGAATCCTGTTCGTGAACTGAGAGACCACTGTATGGTAATAAAACCTTTGTGAATATAGTCTCTCTCAATATATGGAATTCTCCATTTAATATCTTCAGACTGTGGCTGACAGCAGGCAACCGAAACTGCAGAAGCAAAACCACGGAGGGCCCTCATCACCAACTCTCCACACCTGTCCCCATTCCGGCTCAGAGAAGCCCAGTCCTCACGTGTCATGCACATAACGCCGTCCTTTAAAATGCGACCAGGCAACACGTCGGAGCTCTGGAGAGTAGACGTACACATATTAATAAAATAAGACAATGAAACAATGTGTTAATTACAGTTATCTCTGGGTAGTGAAATTACAGCCAATTTTGATTTCTTCTTTTCTAAGTTTTATGCAGTAAACAGTAATTTTCCTTTATTTAAAAAGAAGGGAACAGGCCAGCGTGGTTTCCTCAGGGCAGCCTGCCCTGCCTTCTCCAGGGTGTCCTTTCATCTTGCTTTTTCCTCTTTAACTCGGCCCAAGCTCGCTCTGCAGAGCCAATTTCTCCCTCACCCCTCACTTGCACTTTTTCAAATAAACTTTGTCACTGCTAAAAAAGAAAAAGAAAAAGAAGGGAATAGACCTTTCGGGGGGCTATAATACACAGGCCCTGGTCCCCTATAAAAGCCACACACGCACATGTTCCTCCCTGAGCAACAGGAAGCAGGAAGCTGTGTGTGCCCTAGGTCCCTGCCTCTGGCCCCGCACAGAAGGAAACCGCACTGAGCAGGAAGCAAGCCCCTCACACGAGGCTGCAGGCAAACGCGTGCACCTCCCCTTCTTCGGATAGAAACAAAGCAGTGACCACGGTGCAAGCCTCCGCGCCTGCGCGGCTCAGTGCTGCGGGCTTTCTGGGTCCTCTGGGACGGCCCGGACCGCACACATCTCGGGGAGGCAGAACCACAGAGCTCCCCCATCCACACTGGGCAAGCTCCTTCCACCGCTGAAGGCCAAGCACTCCTCCTCCTCCGGGGCTGGCCAACTCCTCTGCCCCTCGGGCACCAAGTGTCCCTGCATGCCCAGCAGTCGCCCAGCCGCTCGGTCCTCCCAGAACTACCCCGCCCCCGTCTACTGTCTGGCCCCTCAGAGGTAAGCTTTTATCCAGCACTTCCACGCGCCAGGAGTCCACGGAGTGACTCGACACCCCGAACCTCATCTGAAGGGACAGCCACGAACCACTAAGCATGTGGCCCACAGTAAACAGCCAATAAACGGCAAGTTTCTCATCAATAAAAAGTAGAACCTTGCATTTTAAATGAAAGTTCACTGTATCTCACTGGGCTGTCATTGATACATTTTAAAAGCCAGAAGACAAGAGAAAGAAGCTGCATTTCTTCCTACTCCTGCCAACCACAGCTCAAGTCCTGGACACGACACGAAAAGCCAACCCTGCAGACCAGAAGCAAAGAAGATGGGTGGACAGCAGGCCTCGGGCTTGAGGATCAGAACGGCACTGTGCTGGGCAGGCCATCATGCCTCATGGAAAGGGAAAGCAGGTTCTGCAGACTGTAGGGCCCTGGAAACAGCAAGAAGGGCGAGCGCAAACACACACACGCACACGCATGCAGAAAACCAGCCCCAAGGAAGGGGCAGTGTAGGGACAGAAAACCTCTGGACAACAGCTACTCTGCCCCAGCCAAACATGAAAAACCACCTCCCTGCACGCCCAGCTCCATGAGCAAAAGCAGCAGGGAGCCGGGACTTCTAGCCCAGTTTGAGCTGGTCAGGACTGGGCTTTCCTTCCAGCCCAGCAGCCCACGGCCCTCCTGCCTCCTGCCCAGTGGTGGTACCAGTGTGGACCAGGCTGGGGCTGACACCCCAAGCTCAGCAAGAACCAGCTTCCCCTCCCACCCCCTGCCCCATCACAAAGCCTCAACTTCCTAACCACGGTCCTCGAGGTGAGGCAGAGGTGAGGAGCAGCAGGTGCAGGCTGCCCTCAGGTGAGGCTGTAACCAGCCTGACCTCCCCGCTCCCAGCAGCATGGAGGGGCCTCCAGCAGCTCAGCTCCAAGAACTCCACTGGGCCGGGCCCTGGACCTCTCCCCAGCCCAGCAGGAATGAGGCCAAGCCCTCCTTCCACTGCCAGCCTGGTGTTGGGGGGCTGCTGACGCTGAAGACCAAAACAACTCAGCCTGGCTCAACACGGCCAAAACGTTCTCAGCTTCAGTGTTACAGGGTGAAGAAGTCCTGGGCTCCGCACCTCCCCAGGTGAGTAGGCTGAGTACTACTGAACTGCACACTTACGAATGGGGGAGGTGGCCGACAGCTAAGAAAACGTTTTAAGGTGCCAGTATCAATCAAAAGCAAAAGATTATTTAGCATTCCATACACTTAACTGTTTATTCATTCACTTAAGATACCTGAAATAGGAGTTACACACTATAAAACAATTAAAATCGCACGAATGCGTCTTACTTTACTGATTTTGTGAAATAGTTGAAGACTAATCCATACCTATCCTGATGGTTTAAAAAATAGCTCTGCTAAAACTCTCTTACCACAATTTATGCAGTAAAACTACTCAAGTGTTATTTTTCTAATACAAGAATAAATTGGAAAATTTAATACCAACAGCTAGACACACTTTCAGGCACAAGCTCCTTAGAATCTAAATCAGAACCTGCTGGGGCTGGAAGTGGTCTGTTCTCTATCTGGAGCTGCAGGTCAAGCTGGCTATGTCAGTGTGGGTCATTAGTAAATTACAAAACTCTCACTACTTTAAGAAACGAAATCCAGCAGACCACACTGGACGCAGAAGAACCACCGAGAGCCGTGTGATGCCATCCCGCCCTGCACTTCTGAGCAGAGCCAAGGTCCTCCTCACTCTCGCTACATCCTGCAGGTCTCTGGCTTGAGGGCTGGGACAGCTCCGTGGCTGAGTGTGCCCAGGATATGTGAGGTCTGAGGTTCATACCCCAGCACCACCCACAAAAACAATTAAACTAACGGATCTGAATGTGTCCCCCAGCCTGGAAGGGGACGCAAGGAATGACCTCACGAGTACTACACACGTCACTCTTCTTGTTGGGATACGAAAGCTGAGAAGGGCTGCACAACAGAAAACTTCTCTGAATAACTGCTTTCCAAACGTAGCGATAAACACGGTCGGCTCTGCACCAGCTGACTCCTCTGACTAATACAGGCAGAGTTCGAACGCAAGGCCCAGAGACCTCACAGGGGCCGCAGCCTGAGGTGGGCCCCGGGATGGTACTGCCCTCCACCCAGGCCCGAGAAGACTCGGGGCAAGGCTGCTCCGCGACCCATGTACGGCCAGGACAGACCAGCCAGGCTCCAGAAAGGGGCTCCAAAGGTGATTGGTTTGGCAGAGTGTGAGAAAGGGAAGGAGTGGAAGAGGGCAGGGGAAGCCGCAGAGGGAATGGGCCTGGGAAAAGGAGATGGGCAGAGAAGGGCGGGGTAAGAAACGCTGCACACAGGAAGGACTCTGAGCACTGCTCATTTTCATTAGTAAGTGGGACGAGCAGGCAGAGGTCTTCAACTGGATTTGTTTTAACCACTAAGACTCATAAGATCTTCGAGCAAATGTTCTCTGGTACAGAGCTTTGGTGAAGTTCACAAAGGCCCCTTGGGATAAAGCAGAAATTCTACCGAGACACGGTTCCTGCTGGGCCCCTAATACAAGAGGAGAGAACAGCAATGTCCAGAGCAGGGAGCGGAGCACGGGAGCCCACCTTGTCTTGGGCCAGCCTCTGGAGGTGGATCCCGCAGGACAGCAGGGTGGAGAACAGGGTCAGGAGGCACTGCTGGGCCCTGCAGATGGCCGTGGCCAGGGCGTGGGTTGCGGAGGGTAGTCCCACCTTCTCGATCACGCTCTGGAAGGCGGCGGGACACTGGCGAGAGACTCGGCACAGGGCCTGCGGGACAGGGACAGGAACACAGACGCATCAGAAAGCCCGGCATGGCCTGGCCCTCCCCGGACCGCACCTGCGTGGGAGCCCTTCAGTTCTTCTGGCACCAGAAAGTGGAAATTCCCAGCAAACTGAACAGTTAAACAACCCTGTCGCAATGAAAATGAACATTGTCTTAAAACTTAGAGGTAGATAATAATAACCATTGAATTAATAACTAATTCACAAGTCTACATAGAAAATCCTCTTTACATAAGTGAAAACAGTATTAAACTGAGCTAAGTGCAGAAAATATATTCCTAAAATTAATATGAATACTGCTCGCTGTAGGAACTCTCGGGATATCGGAAAGTTATCTCATGTAATTCTCTCGACAACATGTGAGAAAGGTGGGGTTGTTACCACCCTCCAGACAATGCGGAGGCTCACTGCACACCAGCAGCCTGTCCAAAGGAGCAGAGCCAGCATTCGGAGGAGGCCACGCCCAGAGCTGCTCCGGACTGCTCAAAGTTTTTGCTCATGGTTAATGTCACCTAAGTTCCTTCTCCCTGATTCATATTTTAAACAGGTCTATAACCTTTAATAATAATGAAAAGATCAATATGTCAAGAGGAAAAAAATGGAGGAAGAGGGCCAGGGGTGTGGCTCAGTGGCACCGCACCTGCCTGGCGAGTGTAAGGTCCTGAGTTCAATCCCCGGTACCAAAAAAAAAAGAAGAAAGAAGGGAGGTAAATTTTTTTTCTTTTTTGGCACCAGGGATCGAACTCGGGACCTTGTGCTTGCAAGGCAGGTGCGGTGCCACTGAGCTAAACCCCCAGCTGGAGGTAAAATTCCTAATACTTTGAAAAATATTTTTATGTTCTTGAAATTTTTAGAAAACAAATAAAATTATTTTTTCTATCTCCAAGAATGAACTTCCTTTCAAAATTACTCCTATTGATAAAATAAGGAAAATAAGTGCTAGCTGGTATAAAACTGAATCTTCCATAGAAACGCTTTAAAGTAAATGCCTAGTCCCAACCCTTATGCAAATGCTGAAGTGACTTTCTGAAAGCCAGCATCACAGAAGCCCCCGCCCCCAACATAAAGGGGACCATGGGCAGTGCACACATCTCACAAGAATGCACGTGATTTTGTAACAATTCACAAAGTTACGTGCTGATGGCTCATCATACTTTTGTAATTCCATGGAAACGTCACTGTCCTTTTTGACTTTGGTGACCTGCGGAGAATTGGCCTGGACCACTGCATGAACAGTGAGACCACAGGCCAGCCAGAACACGGTTACTAAAGCGAAGACGTTTCCATCCTGTGCAGCAGGATGTGTGGCTCACAAACCAGCTGGGAGCCACCAGTGTGAAGGACCCAGGTGGTTTTGCTTTGGTTTTTTAGGCTTTTTGTTTTGGAGTATTTTTCGCCCTGTTTTTCCATATTTATGATTTATCTCTGCCCTATTTTTAATTTTGAATTGTGCATTTTTTTTTATTTGTTAGTAAGGAATGGCATGGATGAGATGCAGGGCATAGGGGTGAGGCCTTAAGCATATGAGGACAGGTCAACCCAAGGACTCCTGGGCAGCCAATGTGCAGGCCCAGCTGGGTCCCAGTTGTGTGTGTGTGTGTGTGTGTGTGTGTGCATGTGTGGTTTGTGTTCACCTTTCTATTCAGGGTCCCCTTTTCACTGGTTGAGGCCCTTTTACACCCTGGCCCACTTCCCATTATCAGAAAAAAGGTGGGCTGGGGATTTGGCTCAGTGGCGCCATGCCTGCCTGGCAAGCACAAAGTCCCGAGTTCGGTTCCCAGTACTGGAAGAAAAAAACAAATACAGAAAAAAAGGCCAGCCCCATCCAGCCATCCTCGGCCACTCACAGGAAGGACAGCTTGCACCGCCCAACAGCTCCAGACGCCCCACAGCCAGGTCTGACCACCTGCCTCCAAGCCCCCTCGAGGAGGAGCAGCTCCTGGTTTTTCGGAACACTGGGCACAGAATTCATTTCAGCTACCTCCCCTGGGAGGGGGCGTCCCAGCTTTTTCCCTGGGCAGTCGTCCCTGGGATCCCTGGAAGTGGTCCGGGATCGGCCTCCCTTTAGGAGTGTTATCTGGAAATCAATGCTATGGAGCCAGAAAGAAACACAGCAAAGTGGTTAAGAATGCAGGGCCAGAAGAATGATCCTGAAGGCCCCACAGGGAGTGGCCAGGAGGGCCGTTTCCAGGCAGAGGTCTGGCTAATTTAAGAATCAGAGCGTTTGGGGCAGATGTGGGAGGCATCATCAGTTGGATATTGTGCTGCGTCTCTCACTGTTTCAGACTGGCGGCGTAAAAAAGCAGTGTTTTTGTTCTAGGAACACACAAGGTCTAGGCCTCTGGTCTTGTAGAGCCACTGTGGCTGGTGCATCTGTTTGGTTCTGGAGTGAGGCTAAGCTGTCATCTGTCGCAGAGATGGAGACCTGGATGAAGTAGGTAAGCGGCTGGTGAGGCCCGCCGACCCGGTACCAGTCCCACCGTTATGCCCAGTCCTATTAGTAAGGGATAAGGCAGGCTGCCCTCTTCACTGTTTGCATGATCACTGAACTGTCCAGAGCCCGTGCGGCACACACATCCCAAGGCGATGGACCCATGCAGGGCGTTGACAGGCAGAACATCTGAGATGCCACAAAGACAACGCCCTTACGTCGCGGGCCCAGGAGAACGGATGGCAGGACAACAGGAGGCACAAGGATTTAGAGCATCCCAAGGGCACAAATCTCTCTGGTGGCCAAGGAGCCGTGCCTGGCCCACACCTGGAGTGATGGCCCAGGCGGCTCAGTGAGGGCCTGAAGGGACCAGCTGCTGCTCTGCCTGTATGTTTTAAGGGAAAGAGCTAGCTTCCCCTCAGCCAGATTCAGGGAGTAGTTTTGCCCCCTTATGTGGGTAAGCTGGGCACAAGTAGCCTTTTCGACTTTTTCATTTAGGAACTGAGGTAGGACAGAAGAAATAAAACTAAGCAGAGGGGAGACCAGGAAATCAAGGATTTAGAATCGTACTTTTAAAGAAAAACTGCAGCTTAAGAACACAAGCCAGGTTCATGTTCCCTTCTCCAAAACCAGCAAACCTAGTCCAGCCCCTTTCAGCTGCACCTGGGCCCACCCACTCCGTCACCTGGAAATTACCTTTTCCTTCAGCTTCCTCCAGCCCTGAAAGCAGCTCCGGTGGAGACAGCCTGTCTAATGTATCCCCTGTGGATGGCCTGCACTGTGAGTGGCAGACATCCAGGATGGTCCATAGTGAGAACAGCCTTCCAGGTGTGCCGACCCCAGGTGTAAGGGGCCTCACTTCTCTGAGCACCCTCCATCCACTCAGAGCTTGTCCTGTATCCCCTCTAACAAATCCTTCTCATGCCTCTTCTGACGCGTCCTGAAAATTCTTTTTCCATGACAGAAGTGAGCGAACCTGTGTGCTCATTTTACATGGTGGGTTACATTCCTTATTTCAGCCTCGGGACCCTCAGACCCAGCCCATGGCAGGAAGCATTTGTCCAGGGCTCGGGATCTGAAATCTGGACAGTTTCCTGTGGGTCTGTCCTGGGATCTGCCTATTTGTCCCCTACATATGTCAGCGCAGTGATGTTAGGTCTTAGGATGGTTAATGTCCATGCAGTCGATCTGCCTGTACCTGGTGAGGGTATTACAGACAGCTGAGTTAGGTAGAGATACCCTAGGCCGTCACACAGGGCTGAGCCTCAAGGGAGGCAGTGCTGAGGGTGAGAACACATCACAGCTGTGGCTGGAAGCGCATCTGTTGGAGGACAGGCCTCAAGATAAAGACGGAAGGGCCAGGCCTGCATGCCTTGCCAAGGGATAAGCAACATACTATAACTGGTATTCCCGGGTCCAATAATGTCTAGCTAGACATCAGTCACCCAGGTGGATGACCAGAACCTTCTGGTCCATCCCTTTCTACTAAGTTCTTTGTTCTTTCCATGTGCACTTGGTACATGACAACTGGATCAATATTACCTAAGCAGCTATACTTGTAATCTTATTGGGTGATCAGTTTTGTCCCATGTTGTACATGATTTTGTACCCACCTCATGATTTTGCTCTATAAAACTTCCTCTGTGAAGTGGGGTCCCCTCCTCTCAGCAGCTGTCCGTCCCAATAAATATTTCCTACTCTCAACCTCTTGTTCCTTAGAATTCATTGTTCCCTTTTGGGGAACAGGAACTCAGCTTACCTGACTTCTAGCAAGTTGGAGGTTACAATTATTCCCCTCTGTCGAGGGGAAGTGCACCGAAGACCTGAGTCCCCGGGGGTTTGGAAGAGTTGCGGCATCTGGGAGGGGACGTTCATGCAGTCCTCGGGAGTCAGGACACAGCTGGATACAGGGGCCCGGTGACAGGTGTACAAAGCTCGAGGCCATCAAGCTGAGCAGTGAGCTGTGTGACTGGGTCTTGCACTGCAGCCTCTGTCTTTAAGGGACGACTGTAACTTGCTGTGTAACAATGGACGCCTGGAGGGGCCGGGCAGCAGAGTGGGCCAAGGCAGTCAGGGAGGGCACGGCCCACAGCTCCCACTAATGTGGGGCTGCACTGGCTGAGGTGCTGGGTGAGCCTGAGGGTTGCGTGGGTGTTCCATCTTCCGAGGCTGGGGAAGGCAGGCAGGCAGGGCCGGTGAGTCTACACCGACAAGCAAAGGCAGAGGTGGGAAACGAGGTTGGATGGGGACAGCTCCTGGGAGGTCCTCTGCAGCCAGCAGGCGTGTGAGACAGACATGAAGATGTCTACTGGGGACACAGGGCCCAAGGGGTGGGCGCCACTGTAGGTCAAAAAGGAGGTTAGGGGCACACTGGACAAAATGGCCAAGAGAGGGACATGAAACCTGAGTCAGCCTGGGTCCTGGTCGTTTCCAGGACGAGGTTTGGCAATGAAAATGGCTACAGATTCCACTGCTCCCAGGGAAGAGGAGGTGAGCCACGCGGGCGCCAGCAGCACACACCCACCCCCTACTGTGGAAATCAGAAGACACATAA